CTTAAAAAAAAAATAGCCAACGTATCAACACATCATCTACCTCAACAGCCTTGACAGAAATCTACATACTATGTCAAAAGGTATGCTGAGCAGTACTTCAGAAGTGGAAGAGAAGGAAATGTAATTTTAAATGAAAGAAGGGACTAAAACTTAATATGAAAATAATCCCCAATTTCTAAATATGTCTATTATTTATACACATACCAAAAAGAAGAAATACAGGGGATTACTCACTAATTTTCCTTTCTATAGTTTTTACTATTTCCCCAAACGTTCTATAATGACTATATACACACACACACACACACACACACACACACACATATATATATATATATTTTTTTTTTTTTAACTGAGACAGGGTCTTACTCCCACACCAAGGCTGGAACAGTGGTGTGATCATGGCTCACTGCAGCCTCGACTTCCTGGTCTCAGGTGATTCTCCCACCTCTGCCTCCCGAGTAGCTGAGACTACAAGCATGTGACACCATGCCTGGCTAATTTTTTGCAGAGTCAGGGTTTTGCCATGTTGCCCAGACTGGTCTTGAACTCCTAGGCTCAAGCAATCCCCCTACCTCAGCTTCCCAAAGTGCTGTGATTACAGGAATGAGCCACCATGCCCAGCTCTACAATGATCGTATTACTTCCAAAAAAAAAAAAAAAAAAACCCAGAAAGAACAAATGGTTATACACAAGTTGAAAAAGTTAAGCATAATGTAATCAATACAATATTGATTTTTTTTGCCCTGTGTCAAAATTTAGAAAGGGCAACTATAGGTCAGAATTGACAATGAGACGCCTTTGGCCATTCATATCAGTGATGCAGAAGTCAAATGACAGAGAGCAACTATCGAAGACTAATACGTTGCATACTTTTAAGAGAACATTACTCTCATTAACTAATTTTTCAGAATTTTCAAAAAGATAGTCATGTTATGCAATCCAGGAATTCCTCTGTAACTTTTTTTTTAACCTTGATGAGAAAGAAATAAATAGGGAGACTATGAAAACATTAGGCTTTTAAAAGATACTGTATTTCAGGTCATGGCTAGGTAACGTTAGTATTCCTTCAGTCTTGTGTCCTAAACTTCTGCATCTCCACATACAGCCACATCTAAGAGATGTTAGAATAAACAGATTCAAACACAGCTCTTCTCCCTCCCTCTCTATACTTCTTCAAATACATTTTGTCTTTAAAAGTTAGACGCTTCTATGCTCAGTCATTTATATACACATAATAATTAAGGCATACAATGCAAATGAAAATACACTGGACTGCCAATTAAGTTACATACATTAGTCTATGAATATGTGGCTAATACTGTATATTAAACATTTGCATATTATTAAAATACTACACAAATCAGGTTTTTGGTGCAGAACTCTAATGATTATTTTATTTATATATTTCCCCTCTTCCCTTGGAGCTCCTTTTAAAAACAATTTCAGGGATATCTGGGCTCAGTGGTGCACACCTGTAATTTCAGCAACTTGGGAGACTGAGGCAGGAGATCACTTAAGTTCAGGAGTTTGGGACAGCCCAGGCAACATAGCAAAACCCTATCTCATAAAATAAATGATAAAACTAATTTCAAGGATAATGTATAGTTGAAGGAAGACAAAATAAATTTACAAGATAATTTTAAAAACAGAAACGCTTCAGGGCAAAATGTGAAATAAACACACATTCTCAATATGCAGGCAGTTCACCATTTATAAATATATATTCTATCTTCCACAATGTAAAGACTACCACTACTAAAAACTATTAATTTATACTTAAGATGGCAGCAGGCCAGGCGTGGTGGTTCATGCCTGTAATCCTGGTACTCTAGAAGGGCTGAGGTGGGCAGACTGCTTGAGCCCAGGAGTTCAAGATCAGTCAGGGAAACATGGCAAAACTCCTTCTCTACAAAATGTACAACAGTTAGCAGGCATAGCAGTGCATGACTGTGGTCCCAGGTACTTGGGAGGCTAAGGTGGGAGGATCACCTGAGCCTCGGGGTCGAGGCTGTAGTGAGCAGTGATTGTGCCACTGCACTACAGCTTGGGTGACAACCTGAGACCCTTTGTCAAAAAAGAAAAAAAAAAAAAAAGATGACAGCAATGTCAAAAGTATAACAAAGTCTCTATTTTACAAATACTTCATACCCAAAAAGCCAATTATTTGACTTATTAAATGTAACAGCATGTTAGCGCTTTCTACGGCAACCCTCTTTCTTCAGATTTTGCATGTACTCCAAGAAAAAACAACTTGAAATTTCTTGAACACACAATTAATTTACTTGTTCATATCTTTAACTATGCTGTTCTCTTTTGTCTATGATGCCATCTATCTCTTAAACGAAAAACTTCCATTTATTCCTCAAAATCATGCTCAGGTGCTAGCATATCTATGAAGCGTTCTCTGACCTGTTCTAGAAGTCAAACATTCCGCCTCTGTAATATTTCCATATTTTAAACTTACTATTATTGAATGGACTCCAAAAAATTATCTCTTTATTGTTGTGCCTAGTCCCTAAGATCCTGGTTTCAAGATCCTGAAAGACAAAGTGTTTCTATCCCTTACAAACACCACAGGACCTGACACACAGAAGACACATTTATTGAACTTAGTGTTTTCTTCATGTTTACATTCTTCAAGTACACAGCTATCTATGCAGTGAAAGATGTGCCCTACAAGTAGAAAAAGAAAAACATGAAGTACACAATAGACAATCCTCAAGTCCCATAATGCAGATGTGCATGAGCAATTATTAGCAGTTCAAAGTTGTTTCATTATGGTAAGTGCCATTCTAACTAATCACCACAACCAATTTTGTCTAGGAAGCATATCCTGGTTTTAAAGTGTTGATTTAAGCCAGCTGGGCTTGGTGGCTCACGCGTGTAATCCCAGCACTTTGGGAGGCCAAGGTGGGTGGATCACGAGGTCAAGAGATCGAGACCATCCTGGCCAACGCAATGAAACCCCATCTCTACTAAAAATACAAAAACTAGCTGGGCGTGGTGGTGTGTGCCTGTAGTCCGAGCTACTTGGGAGGCTGAGGCAGGAGAATCGCTTGAACCTGGGAGGCAGAGGTTGCAGTGAGCTGAGATTGCGCCACTGTACTCCAGCCTGGCAACAGAGCGACAGACTGTCTCAAAAAAAACAAAAAACAAAAGTGTTAATTTAAAAGAATTAGGATGCATTGGTTGCTTAAGTAAACTGCTTCTAAAAATGAATAGCCTAAGCTACAAGCAAGAGAATTTCTTTTTTTTTTTTTCCTCTTTCCGTATACATTCGGTCTCACTATGTTGCCCAGGCTGATCTTGAACTCAAGTAATCCTCCAGCCTCGGCCTTCCATAGTGCTGGGATTACAGGCATGCACCACCACGCCGACCTAAGCAGAAGAATTCCTAAGTAGCTGGTAGTCTTGGCCTCTATCAAGGTTTGGAGGCACACTGCCATTATGACCTTATCCCTCTCCACTATGACCTCACTAGAATCAAGACAGACAGCAGCAGCCATATCTCTGTCCAGAAGACCACAATTAGGGAACTTCAGCACACACACACACACACACACACACACATTATATATATAAACTCCTTAAGAACCACAAAATATATCACTTTTTATAAGATGAATGATAGCCATCTTATATTAACACTACCAATTAGCCTGACCAAAAAGGTATCAATGTAGATGCCAATTAGTGTGGCCTCACTGAAACATAACTTAGATCTAAATTAACTGAGCGTAATACGAAATGGTATAACTTAGATCTAAATTAACTGAGCGTAATATGAAATGGCACCAAGTATCACTGATTTAACACCTGGTGAAATAAAAAATTGTGTTATTTCATGTTCTGTTCTTCAAATAACCAGACAGTATCTTTCACTTTGGCTTCTTAAAAATTAGGGTTCACAGGCCGGGTGTGGTGGCTCACACTTGTAATCCCAGCACTTTGGGAGGCCCAGGTGGGCGGATCACGAGGTCAGGAGTTCGAGACCAGCCTGGCCAGCAAGGCGAAATCCTGTCTCTACTACACACACACACACACACACAATTAGCCGGGCGTCTGTAATCCCAGCTACTCAGGAGGCTGAGGCAGGAGAGTTGCTTGAACCTGGAAGGCAGAAGGTGCTGTGAGCTGAGATAGCGCCATTGCACTCCAGCCTGGGCAACAAGAACAAAACTCCGCCTCAGGGAGGAAAAAAAAGGGTTCACAATCAGCAAATGTGAAGTGCATACTAAAACTCTGCTCCAAACACACTGTAAATAAAGTAAACCCAATGGGTATGCCCCAAACTCCATTTTTTCCTCATAGTTAAGTACTGCCATCCCTCTCCAATCTGCAGTTCCCACTTTCTGCACGCCAAGAAAGTTAAAAAATACAAGCAGGTACTGAGTGAGGACCTGAGGGATTCTCCCACGAGTAAAGTACATGTATTTCCATTTGCCCACAATGTTCTTTTGGTCAGCTTCTGGATTTTGCTCTTACTCCAGAATTGAAGCTGCTGTAGTGTTATAAATCTGTTGAGAAAAGAAATCTAGATTTCTATGAAGATTTTTAATATTTTAATTAGCCAAAAAGCTTCTCAAATATTTTTATAACTACAAGTCACATTTATTAAATGATTCCAGTTACAATCCCAGGCACATTTACTACACAACAGACAATGCTAAATGGTGAAGACAAGTGTCTCTGGCTTTTTAGTATAAGACAGATGATCTTTCATTAGTCCTTCCAATTAAAGCATTAGCATCAACTCTGAAAAATCTGGTGAAAGAGTGAAAAAGAGGATGAAGAGAAAAGGCAATCAGACAATTTGATAAACTATTTTTGTCATTACTGTTCAATATTTATGAAGCACCCTAATGCTCGAGATCTGACAAAAATTCGGAAAGGCTGTTCCAAACAATAACAGAAGAAAATAAATCAAGTTCGTTCAGTTTTCAATAGCTGGCGGGGGAGGAGGAGGAGCACTATATTCAAAAAGTAATTCACTATACCTCATTCATGAATGAAAGCCAAATTTCACCCATAGGCTGTTAACCGATGCTCCGAAACTTATTCGCAAAGTACATAGAGAAAGAAATTGCGCTGGGCGAAACCTAACTCGGGCAGAGAAGCGGCTTCAAAACCTGAAAGGGAGAAAACGAGTCAGGTCGTTGCTCCAGAAATTTCCGAGCGCCCAGCTCCCCGGGAGGGAGCGCGGGCGCCAGCGGCGGGGAGGGGACGGTGGCACCTGTCACTCGAGCGGCCCCCGCGGGGTCTCAGGAGGCTCAGCGGCCGCCGGCCTGGGAGTCTGCTGCGAGTCCCTCTCCGCCGCCCGGAGCCTTGCGCCCAGCGTCGGGCCGCGGCCCTTTCCGCGGAGCGGCCCTCCCGTGCCCTCTGCCCAGCGGCTCCGGCCAGTGGGGCCCGTCGCCTCAGGCCGAGTCCCCGCCACCCGAGCCCCGGGGCGCCGAGGGGAGCGCTGTCGAGCCGCTGCCTACGCCTCCGGGGCGCCGAGCGGACCCCCGCGAGGCGGGCCCGCCTCCGCGTACTCACCGGGCCTCCCGGGCCGCCGGCTCGGCCCTCCTCTCCCTCCTCCCCCCGCCGCCGCCTCTCCCGCGGCTCCCCGGGCGGCCACACTGGGCGTTGAGACTGGTCTGGGTCAAGTGTCGGCAGGGTTGGGGGCAGGCTCGCGCCGGGCTGGGGTCGCGGTCGGCCCGCGGGCTGGGCACTAACGGGTCCCGGGGCGCCGGGGCGGACCGCGGCGGTGAGCGCGGCTGCAGGCTGCGGTGAGGGGCGGGGAGAGCGCGGCTGCGAGCAGGCGGGCGGGCGGAGGGTGGAGGGAAGCCCGGGCGGAGGGGGCGGCGTGAGAGCCTCGGGGCGGGGGCGGGGGCGGGGGCGGGGGCGGGGGCGGGGGCGGGGCCTGGCGCGTCCGCCGTGCGCGGGGGTTTGTTTATTTTCGCGGTTGGTGGCGGCGCTGGCGCTGGTTAGAGGTTCGCCGGTGACGTGCGCGCCCGAGTTGGGGGAGAGGACCAGAACCACCTGCTGGAGAAGGGGAGCTACGGGGGCCGGGCAGGGTCCAAACGCCTCACGTAGGCGGCGGCACCACGGTCTTCGGGGTCACAGGGAAGAGAAGGGCTCTCGAGCGGGTGGAAGGAGGGAGGCCTTCCGAGGGAATGAGACTCCAGGCCACTCCCCCGCAGCAAGGCAAGATCACCTGCGTCTCGGAGAGCAGTTAGAGGGCCCTGGAGTGGAAAAGGGCGGTGGGACCTGGTAGCCCGGGTTCCCTGCAACGTGGGGTTCGACCTCCAGGCAGTGAAGTAGGGATGGTCCTACAAGTCAAGATTCCAGTAGCAAGACTGCATCAGCTCTCTGTAAGGAAAATAACTAACATTTCTCCGTTCCCTGTAGAGTTGCAGGGCGCTTTAACGTTATCTCCATCAGGTAGTACTGGTCTACGGGCGAAGTTAAGTGACTTAGCCAAAGCCTCACAGCTAATAAACGGGAGAGCCGGCACCCAGCCGTACTGGCTTCCAATTCTGTGAGCTTACCTGCGCATCACATTATCTCCATAAATCCCCCTGATTCAACTAATAGTAGACGCCCCACAGGTAAGATGCTGCAGAGTTACAGAGGGGAGTTGAAGATATCTTTGCCTTCAAATAACTAAGGAATAAAACAAAGATAAAATAGACAATAAAAGACAAACCATGGTAGGTTCCATGTGAAAAGTGGTAGAGTACTGCTGGGAATCAAAGAACCGTGTATATCTGTCTTGGGGATAAAGAAAGAAAGGCAGCATGAAGGAGTAGGCATTTGGGATTGACCTTGAAGGAGACAGAGTTTTACAGCAAGAAGGGATAGCATGAGTATATATACGAAGGCGAATCAGTGAAAGTTGTGTTGGGGAAAGAGCAAAGACTCCAGGGTATGTTGAGAAGTGGCAGAGACAAAGGAGTATGGGGCCTAAGATACCAAATGGATGAATTTGTATTTAATTCAGCATTTTGAGTTTTCATGGTTTAGAAGTTTGGGGGAAGAAAAGGAGGTTTTTTTTCTTTGCAATATTGATTTATCTGTGAGGGGAAGCAGAAATTAGAGGTGGAAAAACTGACAGTTCTACTGTAGGCCAGGTAAAAGGTAATGATGAGTCTGACCTAAAGGGACAGCCAGGGGAATTTAAAAGAGCGTGGTTGAGAGATGATGTGCATGCAGAATCTATAGAATTTGGCAACTGATTGATTAATTGTGGGTGGGAAGAGAGAAATCAAAGAAAGTGGAGGTTTTGAGTTTGTAGATAATTGCAAGATTGAAAAGAGACAATTACAAACAAAGGAAAGGAGGAGCTACTTCTTGAGAGAAGATCAGTTTAGATTTGGACATTTTAAGAATTCAAAGGGTTGTCAAGACAGCCAGAGAGCCATGGACACTAATATGTTAGAAATAAAGGTTTTGTAGTATGAGAAAGAGGACCGAACTAGAAAATAGACTCATTAATAATCAGCCTAGCGGTGATATTGCTGTGAGATAAAAGAAGACGACAACGGTCAGAATCTTGGAAAACACCCTCTTTAGAGTCTCACTCCTCAAAACGTGGTCAGTGGCCCAGCAGCACTGACATGAGGACGTTAGTTAGAAACTCAGAATCTCAGGGCCCGCCCCAGACCTGCTGAACCAGCATCTTCAACTGAACGAGAATCCGAAGAGATTTGTGCCACATCAAAAAGTTTGAGAAGCTCTGATCTAGGTGAGCGAAGCCAGCAAAGAAAGGGTGTAGAACAGAAAGTGGGAGGAGAATAGGGTAATGCAGAATCATCAGCAAGGTAAATTGGAGTTTCACAAAAGCAGGACTGAAAGGAGTGTTGATCAACAATATCCAAAACCACAGAGGTTGAAAAGCACAAGGAAAGAAGGTATGTTTGCATTTTGTGATTAGGTAGTAGGGTCTTTAAGACCACATGGTTCTCATTGAAAGCCTGGAAAGAAAGATCCCCTTTCTGGTCGAGGTTGGTCTAGGGATCCCATCTTCCTCAGTTCCCACATATATGGGACATACCGAGATACGTAGATAGATTTGACAGTGGGAGAAAGTAGTTTCCCTTCCCATTGCTTCTATTTTCTCAGCAAAATGAGGAACAAGATCATTTCGGCAGACTGCTAATTGTCCATCACAATTTAGTCTCCCCTTCTCCCTGAAAACACAGACTGCTTTTCTCAGCCTGTCTTCCAGTTGCATATGGTCAAGTATTAAGTTATAGGACGTGAGCAGATGTTATGTCTGCCACTGTCAGGCCAAGGCGTTTACTTTGAGAGTACTTGTGCCTCTTTCATGCATTTTCCTTTCTGCCAGCTGGACCGTGGACACAGTGACTCTACTTCAGTTATACAGATGACCACAAGCCTCCGGAGTTGGCAGAGCCACAAGAAAGAAGGTGCCTGGATGAAGGAGAGCTACCCACTGACCTGGACACCCAATTATGTGAGCAAGATATATTTCTATTGAGTTGGAGCCATAACATTTTGCAGTCTATTTGTTATAGTAGTTTAGCCTACTCTAGGTAATGTAGTCCTTAATGGGAAGTAATGAGAAAAGAAGAGAGAAGAAGGGAGGTGAAATCAGAGTTTGAGTGAGGGAGAATGAACTGACTAAAGAACATGGTAAAGTTTCCAGGCATTACTAAGAGCCCCATTGAATAAGTGGTCATGAATTTAGAGTGAGGCTAGCCACTTGGTTATGCAATTTTCTCCAGCCATAATCAGTTGCTTATGTGCAGGCACTGAGTAGGCAGTTTTGGCAGTAACCAGGACTGAGATTTGACCAGGCAAGCATAATGAGGAGCTAAGGGCAGAGTTGGTGATGGTAGAAGCAAAGGAGGCCTTATAATTTCAGAAGTGGTAAGAAGTAAAGTTACGAGAGGAGTGAAGAATGGTAGAAAGATGGTAGAGTGACTGAATTGGTGTTTTTGATTAGGTTGAAGAATTGTTGAAGTTTAGTTACTATATGGAATGACCTTGGAACGATAAGAGATGGTTGGAGAGTGGAGGCTTGAATTAAATTAGAGGAGGGGCTGTAGTTATCCGTAATATTGGAGTGTAAGGAATGCATTTGAGAATGGATAATTGAGGTACCAGAGGGTACAAGATCCTCTGAAGGGAGGTCAAGGAATTGAGATGCAGTAAGGATTTTGAGTGAACATCCACCTAGTTATATATATCTATTCTACATACGTACATACATATATACACATACCCCTCACAAAGAATTACCGCAAGAGTAATACCACAATAGTGTTGTAGTAGTGTGTAGTTTTGGAGAGAGTGATAGTAGCCCTAGTACTAAAATCTTTCATCTATGAGTGAGGGGTTGAATTCTCCAAATTAGGCTGCACAGGGACATCAGTGGTTTAATATGTTAAACTCTTACAAATATCACATTTCATTAAACAGATGCTTTCACGTTTTATGTTGCTAAAGTAAGATTTCTAATTGCTTCTCTCCGACCTCTCAAATTACAATGGTAACTGCCTTCTTTTACAGGAAATGCCCATCTGTCTATATTATAAACCAGACACATGCCAGGTTTTCCAATTTAAATGACAGTGCTTTAAAACTTGTCATAGACTACTCTGTCCTACCTCCAACGTGTATTTCAAGTAGATACATCTACAGTGATGCTAGCTCTGCCACATCAAACAATGCACAGTAAATGTTCAAAATCTACATTAAAAACCTCAGTTATAAAGAGCTAGATACCCTGTTTTACATGATGTGATTATTATTCATTGCATAATCAGAACATCTGTATCAGAACATCTCATATACCCCATAAATATATACACCTGCTGTGTATGCACAAAAATTAAAATTACTATTATTTTTGAGATGGAGTCTTGCTCTGTCAACCAGGCCAGAGTGCAGTGGTGCAGTCTCAGCTCACTGCAACTTCCGCCTCCTGGGTTCAAGCAATTATCCTGCCTCAGCCTCCCAAGTAGCTGGGACTACAGGTGCATGCCACCATGCCTGGCTATTTTTTGTATTTTTAGTAGAGACAGGATTTCACCATGTTGCCAGGCTAGTTACAAACTCTTAATCTCAAGTCATCCACCCACCTCAGCCTTCCAAAGTGCTGAGATTACAGGCATGAGCGACAGCACCTGGGCCAAAACTTAAAATTAAAAATTAAAAAATTAAAACTTCAGTTATAGCTTAAGTTAACAATAAGTGGGGATTGACTAAAGACCTGATAAATTGAAAATAAGATTACTCGTAGCTTGGGAAATGATGTACTATGTTATATAACGTAGGGGCTTTGGACTCAGACTGCTAGGGGTAGAATTATGAGGTTATTGTGAGGATAAGACACGTTACACACACACACACACACAACCATTCTAAAGACTACAAGTACATATAAGCATTAAGTTAGGTATGGTTATTCTATTATCATACTTATTTCTAATTATTATGGAATTGCTTTGACTGTACATGGACTTTCCCTACTTAGAAAATGTTCATTACATCTGTACATGTTAAAACCCAGTGGCAAGTGGACTTCTGGTTAAGCATAGTTCATTGAACACACGTTTGTCTCCACTTACTCCAGAGACCTCATTAAAATGACAGTAAAGGAATAAAAAAGATATAAATCTATAAAGAAAAAGCAAACAGGGAAAGAGCTCCCCGCTGAATAAAATGCCAACAAAACTTAGGAACGTGGAAAACAGATGGATGAGTGATCACTGACTTACCAAAGCCTCCAAAGTGACTACTTAAGCTTTTGGGAGGAGGCAGAACCAGCCGTTAAGTGAACCTATCCATGTCACAGCACCCTGGAAAGGCTCTAAAACTAGAGCTGCCTTCTCTTCGAAAGTAGAGGGAGAGCAGGGCTGAAAAGGAGAATTCACTGTGAATGTTTTCTAAAGAGAATGAGAT